CACACACACACACACACACACACACACACACACACACACACACACACACACACACAGCTTTCCTACAAGAGTTATGACATAATTCTGTGTATGTGTGCTTTGTGGCTCCAAACTCAGCTGCTCTCAGAATAACTGGTCCTGCGGATGAACTCCGTCCTGGACGTTTTGTTCCAGGTGTTCGGCACCGCAGGCCTGAGCTGGATTTTAAGTGACATGAGAGGTAAAGACTGAGTGTCGATTGTCTGGATGAACACAGATGCATTCAGATCATGTGTAACTTAATTATAAGAAAGCATATTGGTGTTAGGGAAAAGCTTTTAATAGACTCATTGATGTTTTTCTGAGCAGATACTTGAAGGCTAAAAAAACAAACAAGCCTTCTGATGTTCTTCTTATTCCCCACCAGAAATGTAGAGACACACGGGTTATCAATGGGTGTCAGTGGGGATCAATAGGAATGAAGGCTGGCGCGCACACAGTGTCATCAGCGAGCAGATATGTTGATCTATTCTGAAAAGTTGATACATTAAGGTTTCCAACAAACACCATGTGAATAATGACAGTGTTCTTCAAAGGGCAGAGTCCATCAGATGCTTCACATAGTTCTTCAAAAACAAGTGTAGTTGTGGTTTGTTGTGTCTCAGGATTTTCATGTCTGTACTGTTTATGATGTTGACGTCATTCATCGTGTCTTGTTGACTCTGCTAACAAACTGTAGTCTGCATTTTATTTCCTGTTTTGAAACCAAGTAATTATTCATTAATGGAAATGTTTAGTCCTGAGCGCTTGCAGTACCATATCATCTGGTGGTCACGCATACATTAAACTACACTGTGCTCTAATGGTAACATCAGCTGTGTTTACTGTAGACCACATGTGAATACAGTCAGAATACTTGAATTTCACTCACTGAAACTTCTTGGACGGGTGCATCTCAGCAGGCCTGGTTTCCAACACACAAAGAGCATGAAGGCAGCAGATCACTCAGCTCAAATCAACTCATCTTGACTGGGGTGAGCAGACGGTGACGGGCTGACTCTGTGTCAAGCCCCAAAGTTAAGCCTCACCAGTATCCAAATAGCAGAGGCATGAAAGGCTGCTCACCCTCCTTATAGCTGTGGCAGGGTAAAACTATTGTTTGAGGCCAGTGAACATGCTTTCTAATGTGGGTAGCTGGGTATTGTAACGTGGGAGTCTAAGGGGAAAGAGTCTCTCTTGGCGCGATCTTCAAGTGGCCGGTGGAGGAACTACAATTTATGTCAGTTACACGTTTTTAGTCCCAAATGTGGCAGTTTGTACATTACCTGCAAAGCCAAAAGAAGCACCTTCGGTAATCTGAAGCTCTCTTAAATGTTTGGCTCACAGTCATCCCAGGATGTGACTTTGTGAATTTCTTTTTGTTTGGATGCCTCAAATAACTGAAGATATTTTGATCCACATCATAAAATCTGATCACAAACATCCATGATAACAGAAGGAGCAGAATGCTGCATAAACTGCAGGCAGGGCACGTTTATATTATCATAGGCCGTCAGTGAAAATCCAGCGAGGCTAGTCCAGCTTAATCACAAATCCATCCCTTTAAAAGATTCTTATTGATGGATCATTCAAGTCCCGACACTCACCGGCTCCTGAAATGAAGCTGTGGTGCAGCTTTAACCGAGCTGAGCAAGCGTTTAGTCCAGCATGTCTACGAGCAAAGCTGATAGTTTATGTCGGCACAACAGAATAAAGAGGACTCGAGGCAACTTGTTTACTGTGTTGCTTGCAGTCTAATGCATGCGGCATGTGCATGCATACTATCACATATTTCGAGGCACTTGTACAAACTTGTGTATTCACTTAAGAGAGTGCATTTCCTTCCTGGATCCACTATGATGAAGATGAAGACGTGGCTACACACAGGACACTTTGCTGCATTTCCCAGCTATGCAAAACTCATTCATTGTAAGCCACGTGTTTGGCTTAGCTGGCCTTTAAATCGATGGTGATGTGAACAGTTGTACAAAAATGATGTTCTGTTTTTGAATAAAGCTAACTGACTGTCAGTGTCAGTGTGTCATTTGGACTTCATGTTATTCATGTGTTTTTGAAATGAGCTTTACAGAAGCTGCTTTATCATTCTCACAGGGCATGAATGCAGCATGACAAACCTGCCAGATGGTCAGCTATCAGAATCACAGCGGCTGAAAAAGCTTAAAGTTGTCTTGTTTTTGGACAAGTTTTTGACTCATTGACTGAAAGCAGCAGCTCTAAAACCGCCTCAGTTCTTCCAAATGCCCAAGCGCTTAACTAAAGCCCACACATCTGTGTCCCAGCTCGCCACTTGTGGCCGGTTGGATCAGAGATTTGTTAAAACACCACTGAAGACATTCTTACTGCTGATGCTTCACTTTAAGGGTTTCACTTGCAAACCACCTAGAGCTGTCGATCTCGAAGCAACTACAGGGAAATGTCAAGTAGTATTTGAGCAGTTCAGTAAGCACTGGGTCAAGATGCTGCACACGAGGTTCTGACAATGGGCCACCAATATAGGTAAGTTAGTTGAGCAGGTGGCTCATATGCTGCTACTACAGAGGCCTGGGACCACACTGGGCCATTTTCCTGCAAGTCATTAAGCCCATCTATAAAGGCTTAAAGCCAGAAATAAAAATCTTATTTTAAATCTGGCTGATCTCCTTTTCAAGATCAGTGAACAGAAGCACATCTTCTAGAGCTCTGTGTGTAATCTCATTTGGTTTCATTGTTCTTGCAGCTTTGTAACTGATGTCATAAGGAGGCAGTTCTGGACTGTCGTCCAGGTGCTGCATGCTCGCTGCATGCTCAATCATCCAGGTAAGTAAATCCTAAAAGACTGATTCTGTTCATCTGGACGTTTTCAATGAGAGAAATGTTTCGTCACTCATCCAAGTGACTTCTCTGGCTTTTCAACCCCAAAACACGCTGCACCAAAAGCTGGTCCACCCCAAGGATCGGGTCCCCGACACAAACAGAGTAACATAGTGTACGCTGGTAAGTGCCAGGATTTATACATCGGGGAAACCAAACAACCTCTGGCTAAGAGGACGGCACAACACAGCAGAGCCACCTCGTCAGGCCAGGACTCTGCAGTCTATTTACACCTACAGGCCAGTGGACACTCTTTCAATGATGAGGATGTAACATCCTGGACAGGGAGGGACGCTGGTTTGAGGGCGGAGTCAAGGAGGGAAAGACCATCTCTGAATGGAGGAGGGGGCCTGAGGGTACATCTGTCACCATCTTACAATGCTGTGATTGCAGCCATTCCCCAACTCTCTGCGAATGGGACTCATGGCCATTGATCAGTGGTTGTTGATCAATGGTCATCAATTTGCATGATTACAGTTTTTCTCAGTCGCTTTGGTGCATTTCTCACAACAGAATTAAACATTGCACAACAGTTAGTTCAACCACCACAACATGTAGTCGTTTTGGCACAACCCTGTGGCGGTTTCACGTTCACTGCGTCCAAAGGCAAATGCCTTTGGACATGAAGCAGTTGAGTGAGTACAAATATCTAAAGAATGGTCACGTTTGACTTCCTATTCATCACTATCTCCTTTCTTTCATCATGAATGTCACAATTATTCATACTTGTACCGGCTGAATAGTCATTGTCCTTACAACTAATAGTCTTCATTGCATTGCTTGTGTCAGTGCACTCAAAATTGCTGAACAGCTTGTCAAACGATTCATACACCCATTTTGAAAACCCTATTTTGGAGGAGTTCCCATGAAAATCTCCATAAACTACATGTCTCAGGTGAACCTTATCTCACACTAATGAAAATTGGTGTGTGTCACTCCTACTTGCAACCAATGAAAAGCCTCTCCTACCCAGTCACAGGTGAACCGCGGCACAGCATCCCCCACTCCACAAGTACATATATACTGTAATGTAAACCAACAGACAGGAGCGTCTAGATATCAATGATTGATATGCAGCAGTGTCTGTTTTTCAGTTTGTTTTTTTTGAGTCGTAACTACTGCAGTGAGGTTTACTGTCTAAGTGAGTTTGTTTGCTGTAAAATGTTGGATTTACTGTATTTCCCCAGTTTGCACAATGCTGTGAACAGTTTAAATTAAATATTATCAAGAGTGCATATGGAGTGTCTTGATTGTCCTTTACAATTTATGGTTTTCAACATGCCATGCATGCGGTCCGGACTTGACATGTCATTGGGAAGCACCTACAAAGACATCCGTCACAATGAGAACATGTTCAGACCATGTGATTTCGTGACCAAAGGTGCTGGACTACTGACTTGTAATTGTGACAGCCCTGACACTTTGTTTGGTATCAGTACTTGCTTTTGATGAATGTATTGTCTGTTTTGCTCAAGGGATTTGTTGTTGATGCATTGACAACTTATTTTGGACACCTGACTTTTCTTTTTGATGGAGTGACTCACTTTTGCAAGTTATCCACCATGTTTTGCAGTTTGCACTAATTGTTTTGAGAAGTGCCTTAGTAGTGGTGGAGAGTTCAATTCTGTTGTGAGAAATGCACCAAAGCGACTGAGAAAAACTGTAAGATTAAGGAACTGCCCTCCCAGCCCATTGTTCCATCAGTGGGCTGGTTTCAGTCATTATGCAAATGCACTGTTTATAAGATTGGAACCTGCAGTCAGCTGAGACTGAAGACGTCACCTGATGATGAAAGTTTCTCCCTCTGAAAACGTCCAGATGAACAGAATCAGCCTTTGGGATCAGACTCTTGGCTTTACTGCTGTCAGTGACGGGCAGTGTTCTTATATTGACAGAACCACATTCATGTGCTGTTGTCAGATTCATCTTAGCCCTATACAAACTCTGTACTGTGTGATTTGCACACACTTCTAATGTTTTTGGAAAAATCTGTTTGTGTATGACGCTGAAGTCTAGACACCACAGGTCAACAAACAGGAAGCAGCAGCATGTACATCGTACCAACCCAGCAGACACAGCT